CCCCATGTTGTCGTGCCGTGCCAAGCACGGTCCATTAATATTCGTGCTCGTGCCGTGCCGTACCTCATTTAAATGGGCTGGGCTCGTGCCGTGCTGGACCGGCCCGTCCCGTTTGACACCTCTAGTGTCACTAGTGTTGTAGCCATCTGTTGTTGTGGAGTATGAGAAACCAGTACCGGCAGGAGCGTCTAGAAATATTATGTTTGCTAACTAAAAAGAAAAATGTGCACTTTCAATATATCTTCAGAAGCATAACCATATGCATCAATTGGTCACGTGACCATTCATATATAGGAAAGTAAAAGCAAGAGACGGAAATTCCAGACCTTTGTCCATGAGTACGGATTCAGAACAAGTTCTACTGGATCCTTTGTTATTCTTGTAAAACTGAAAGCTATTGGACCTGTAATGAATGAACAACTGACTTATCATGTCGAGTCAAGCTATGAATGGCAATGGAGCGAATCGGGGATGGTGTACCATTCCCATCCCATCCCCGTTAAGATGGACAGTCAAGCAATCATGTCATTTATGGATACTGCTCAAAATAATTCATAATAAGGGCGGAACCAAGAATTTTTAGACATGGATAACTTTTAGTTTGACATTTAATTTTATATCAAAAAAGTGAAGCTTCATTTACGAAAAATCTTGTTTGCAAAAATAAATAAATAATGGGGGTAAAAATGAAAATTTCAGAAAATAGAAAATAGAATTCCACTGTATAAAATTAAGGCCTATTTATATACACCTGAAAATGTATTTGAGTCTCACTTTGCTCCCTGAACTCATTTTGTCTCACTTTATCCCATTTTTCACACATACTTATCTCACTTTACCCCATTTAAAAAAAAAAATATTAGTTTTAAATTCAAAATTATATTTTAAATTTTAAAATCAGATTAAATATTTAAAACATAAATATATTAAAAATAATTTGAAACTTGAGATCCATAAAAAAAAAATTGTAAAGAAAATTAATTTTTAAGAAAAAAGAAGCTTAAAACAAAAACAAAAAATGCATCCCTACCCCTTTCCCCTCCCCTTCCCATCCATCCCCCCCTACCCCTCCCTTCCCCCTCCATCTCCCCCTATGCTCCCGTCCTCCTCTTCTCTCTCTCTCTGTGTTACCAGCGAACCAAACATTAGAAATATATTAATGTTTTTAAAATTTAATTTGATTTAAAAATAATTTTTTAAAATTTTAATTTTTAATTAATATTTTGTGAAAATTGGGCTAAAGTGAGAAAATTGTGTGAAAAATATGGTAAAGTGAGACAAAATGAGTTTTAGGGGGCAAAGTGATACTCGAATACACTCTTAGGGGATATATCATAAAATAAGCCTTAAATTAATATATAGAATAGAAGGAGATACAAACCAATTTCATAAACGAGGCCAGAAAAAGCAGAGCATCGAGGGCCTCCAGTGATCCAAAGCAGCAGAGGATCATTTTCTGGGCTCCTTTCTGACTCAGTGAAGTAGTAGAACAGTTGCAGCTCATCCTTATTGCCTACCCCCACGTACCTTGAGAGATTTTGGACGCAAATTATTTCATACTCATCAACACAAACTAGTAAGTCTTAGCCAAAAATGAGACTTACCCAGTTTCAAGCTCGAATGGGAGGTCACCAGAAAATCCTGGCAAGTTCTTGATGACTGTCTGCGTTGAACAAAAGTTGGGAAGCAGCAGTAGCAGCAAAAGTGCTTTTCTCCACAGCCACAATAATCTAATGCAGATCGTGAGGCCTCTGTTGGATCTGGTCATTGTCTTTCTATTTTCCTTTCTTCTATCTACTCTAAAACCGCATGTGCCGTTTAATTTCCAAGTCTACCAATCTTTTGCACAACTCCAGAAACAGATTCGCCACTTCAAAATATATATATTTTCTTTGATGTACCACTTCAAAATATATAAATGTGAGGAAAACGACATTCTTGATAAAAAGACAGAATTTAGGGACCCGCCTTTGTATTCAATTATAAACTGGTTCCCATGTCCCTCCGCCACTGCCCAAATGTTGAGAGCCTTACGACACTTGTATCATTTCCCCAAACAATGCAGTACTGAATTCTCTCTTTCTAACCACAATGAATCTTCTTACCTCCTTGTAAATTTGCATACTGTAGAGGCATGGAGGGTTGTTTGGATCTACATCAACATAGTCACCCTTGCAGTTCCTTTTTGTTGACTGTGAAAGCATCACTACTACAAAAATCGAAATAGACGACGGGAAACCACCGTCGTGTAAAAGGTTTTCGCCCGGTCGTGAAATCGACTGCCGTCTATTTGGGTTTCAAACTACGACGGCTTTTCACCGTCGTTGTTTATCAGTAAAGATGACGGTTTTTAAAAAAAATCGTCGTTGTTTAGAGGTAAAGATCGTTAATTATAGGAGGAAAGACGACTGTTTTTAATAAAACCGTCGTGTATTGTATGTAAAGATGACGATTTTTTTATGAAAACCGTCATGGATTGTTTATAAAGACGTCATCTTTACATACAATAGACGACCTTTTTTTATAAAAAGCGTCATCTTTACATACAAT